TAATACAATTGCATGCATACATACTCACAGACATATATATTCTAATAAACACATAAATAGAGAGTTGCATAGATGAACATTTTGAGAAACACAGAGGTATATGTTCATGATTTGTGTATGCATGCATACCCAAAGACACATGTGGACTAACACAGAAGGACATATGTATTCACGGTCACTTAAATACACAAATTCACAAAAACATACACACAAGCATGAACACTGATAATTAGAATTGACTAGGTTTAAATGCAGCAGCAAACTATCCCTATGATGCAGAGTTGTGAGTATCAAATGAGATAACTATGGGTATTTTGTGAAACATACAGTGTTTTATAAAGATAAATTTTAAAACACTTATTTAAAATTTTTATTTATTTAAATATATTTATTTTATGCTACATTACCTTAGGATACTGAGGATGATAATAAGTGAATTTTCCAAACAATTTAAGATTATATCTATGTCTATCTATCTATACATGGTGTTTATATGTGTGTGCATATGTGTGTGTATATATAATATTTAAATCTTCATAAAATATAAATTATATTTCATACTTTTCCACCTCCCAATGGATAAAAACATCACAATTTTATTTATTTCATGACTTATTACTGTCATAGAGTTATTAGGCATTGAATTTTGCTGTCAAAAAGAATAAGTTTGAAAGGATTTTCGATGCAGTAAGATTCTTTCCCCAATACTAAAAAACATTCTTGGTTTTTGGGTTTGCTTTTTATGAATGTTCTTGTTCCTCTGATATCAGTTGTCACTTCCTGAAGCTTCCTCCCACATTAATGAGTGCTAATTTTGTGTAGTGGAGCTTCTATGGCTATTTAGAATTGGTGTATTTGTTATTTTGCAGAAGAAAACTCAAATATTGCATGCCTGGTAAATAGGTGATGAATAAATGAAGTGTGTTTATCTGTATACTAATCTCTCATTACTTCAAATTTGCTATTTATTGGTGTTTTTCCCACAAGAATTTGGAAGATGAGGAGATGATCAAGGAAAAAAGGGTAATAATAATTACTTAAGAGAGAAGTTGGATGAGAGACAGGAGGAAAAATGAGCATAGAGGAGATATGACCATAGAGTGGAGGATAAAATAATGAATAAGGAAAGTGGATAGAAGTGGGAAGATGAGGGTTGAGAGGGGAGGAGAAGACTAACTACACAGAGTACATAGAGGCATATATATTGGAGAAATGAGAAAGGTGAAAAGAAAGAGAATATGAGAAGAGAGGAAAAAAAGAGTAGAGAAGTTGAGAAGACAAAGGATAAGATGGTTTAAAATAAAGAAGCTAGATTAGATATTAGGAAATCCTAAAGAGACAGGAGAATATAATGAAGTGGATGTAGTAGGTGGGAATAAAGAGGAAAAGACATAGAGAAGTAGAGGAAAGGACATGGGAGGAGATGAACAAGAGTGAGGGAAATCGTAGACAGAAGAAAGAGAAGCTTTCCTTCATTTATTCATTTGCCAAACATGTCTTGACTTCCTAATATATACATGGCCCTAAAGTAAATTCTGGAAATGCAAACATTAATGAGACATAGTCTCTCTTCTTAAGATAATCATAATATAATAGGGGAGAAAGACTAATAGCATAATAGCAAATGATGTTAACTAAAATGTTAAAGAGATGGGTAGTTGTTGGAATATAGAGCAGGGTCATCTAACTCATTCTTTTGGGACAGGTTGAGAGAAGAGTCCCTGGATAAGGCAAGAGCTAGGCTTCTGATTATTGGTATTAGCATTAGCATTTTATATTATTATGTAAGTAGAATGCAGTCCAGAAACTTCTAGGCAGAAGGAAGAGAGGAAGGACATTCTAGACAGAGAAAACCAAGTGAGCAGTTGCAGGGAATGGAAGGACGTATTTTAGGCAAGAGACTGAGGTGGTCAAGTTTTCTATTTCATATGGCTGTGTAGCTACCGGGTAAATAATGCATTTGAAGGTAAAAAGACTGGAATTAGAGAAAATGATTAAGAAACTGCTGAAATAGTCTAGATTAGAAGTGGTGTTCTAATTCAGAACAATGGATTAAGATGGAGAACTGACGATATGTTGAGGAAATAGGCAGTAAATATAGAAAACTTCAGAATGACAGTGAGGAGGAGTTGTGAAGGTAGTAGGTATCCAAATAACATGAGTGAAAGATGGTACTATAGGCTGGACTAGACGATATGAAAGTTAGGACAAATGTAGATAAGTCTGTGAGGTTAATTTGGGACAAGATAAGCTTAAGGTGATTGTAGATTATCCAGAGAAAGAAGTCTAATAGTAGTTGGATATTCGAGTCTTAAGATCAAGGGAGAGATACAATGTAGAGATATAAAGTATGGCATTGTTACTATATTGGAACAAATGGAAACGTAAAAATGGATGTCATCACTTCAGGAAAGAGTATAGAGTAAGAAGAATTTCATGCCAGGTATCTAGTCATCTAGCACTACTATCAGTAAGGCAGTGGAGGGGAAAGAGGAACCTATGAAAGAAACCAGGAAGAAAATGTCAGGGAACTGTTAACAGTGTGCAGTATCTTGAAAGCTAAGTGTGGTAGTCAATACTACCACTTGCCAATGTTTTCACTTCACCTCCATCTGGGTACAAAGTAGTACTATACTTCCCTGAGCCTTGAAGTTCAGCATGGACAAATGACTTGCTTTGGCTAACCAAATGTGCGTGTAAATAGCGTGTGTCAGCTCTGAGAGAGGATGGGAAGCCCTTCAAGAGCCAATACATAATTTGCCATGTTGCCTTCCCCTAGCCACGGTAAGTAGCATTATGCCAGGTGGTCTTTGCCCTATTATTCTATGCCCCTTATTGAAGATGACATAGAAGCGAGTGGGTCCCCCTGCCCCAACCAGAGATAGTGTGAGTGAGAAATAAACTTCAGTTACTTTAGGACACTGAGATTTTCAGATTGTTTCCTACTGCATATTAATCTAACCTGTCTTGACTGATAAATTAAAGTTTCAAAACAATGAGAGTTATCAATAACACCACTAATAGTATAATAAGTATATTAATTAACATCAATATAGTGTGTAAAATATGACAGACACTGTTCTAATAATTCTACTTTTATAATATTCCTAACAACTTTAGTAACTGTATGAGATAGGCACTATTATCCCAACTTTACAGATGAAAAAAAAACTAAGACACGACGTGGGTAAGAGAATTTTTCAAGTTAACTTGGGTAGTAGATGGTTAAGCCAGCATTATTAATATGGTAGGGTAGCTGCAGGTTCATGCACTTTACCCTGTTTACACATTTTTACAACATTGTTGGCTATAGAAAGAGATGTAATATAGAGACTTAGAAGTATGTCTTAAGTTTGGTACCACGGAGGATATTAGTATTCTTCACATACACTGTTTCAATAGAGTGCTAGTGCAATAGAGAGTTTTAGGAGTTGGAGTGGAGATAGTGCACATAGAAAATAACTTTGAGAAGCTTGTTTGAAAATGAAAGGGAGGAAGATATCATAGCTACATTCAGGGATAAGAGAAATTGCCTTTGTTTTCAGAGGAGAGACTGACACATACTTGTAAAATAGTACAAAAGCGTCAGTAGGAAGACAAAGATTGAAGATATAGTAGAAATAACACATCGCTGACAGCAAGTTCTCATACATACCATAAAGGGGATGATATCAAATCTACAGTTAGAGTTTTACTTGAAAGGAAGAGGGACACCTCTTCTCACATTGCATGAAAGTTTATGAGGTTATATATAAATGTTGAAATGAAGGTGGGGAGGATAGGACAGAGAAAAGGTATGAATGAATGTAATATATCAAGGAGAATTTGGGGAAACAGAGCATTAGGGAAGGAATAGATGGAAGAGGCATGCTTGTAATAAACTATAGGAAAGAGAAGAGTTTGAAAAAGAGATAAGAGTTCACACAATTGTGGAAAGAATGGAGTGGAGTAGATGTAAACAGAAAAGAAACTGTATGGAATGAGGTGCATGGAGGGACAGAATAATGAGGAGATGTGGATGGGCAGAGGACAGTAAGCAAATGGAAGAGAAGCAAGAGGAGGGAGAGAGTAATGGGCAGGAAAGGATCTGAACACAGTAGAGATTGCAAATAGTGAGGAGAAATAGAGAATGAATGAAAAGAACAGGATAGAGGAGAAACAACAATAAAAGAAATAAAGCATAGAAGATAGGTTTAAGTTTTTGGGGAGGGATAGAGAAGAGAGAAGAAAGGAGAGAGGATAGGAATATTGAAATATAAAAAAAATAGAAGAGAAGAAAGGAGAGAGGATAGGAATATTGAAATATAAAAAAAATAGAAGATGCAGGTTGAGGAGGGCAGAGGATGAAGCCAAGCAAAGGATTAGTTGCCTTGAAATAAAGTTGAATGAATGGGAAGATGATGATAACTGGGCCCTTTATCCTAGTCTGAATTAGACAAGAAAGTCAAGTTCGATGAGATTAGAGTCTATGTAGAATGCCCTTGTGCTTATTCAGATTTACGGAATAGAGGAAGTACAGAAGCATGGAAGCATGATGAAGTCATTGGTTTCCTACACAGTAGCACCTTGGGTCCAGGAAGGTGGGCCTGGAGGGAGACCTAGGCTCAAAATGGAAAAATAAAAGCCTGGCTCTTTTTACAGCCCCACAATTAATTCACCTAGTGACATTTCTCAAGTCACAAACCGTCTGCTTTCTCTAGTCTGATAGTAATGTAGCTGCTGCCTGTCTTGCAGGCATATGAAAAGCAAAAATTGAATAAGGTCTGCAGAATACTTAGAATTTTTCGGAAAGTGTTATTCTTTAGCATCCCTATATTATTTTGACCCTCAGGAATCTTATCTGGAGTCCATGGGGAGACTACAGTAGGACAGCTTCCTACTAAAATCTGAGCAAGCATTACATGGGTATGTAACTAGGGCAGTGTAGAAAGAAGCCTTGCTTTGCCTCATCTTGGGACCTCAGAACAACCATAAAAATACAGGCTAAAACCCATTACCTGCTGCTTACTTCAGCAGCACACATACTAAAATTGGAACAATGCATAGATAATTAGCAGAGCCCAGCCCAAGATGATACACACATTTATAAAATATTTTCTATTATTCAGGTATGGACATATAGAGAACTTCATCTTTATTAATGTCATATAATTTGTTTATGAGGATACAGGTAAATGTGTTCATTGTATATAAATGTTGCATAATATATAATACTGTAAAAAAGTCCTATTGACTATCTGAATATGAAGGATAACTCTTTATTGAATTTAACTAGATTTTATCCTATTGACTTAAAACATTCACTCAGCACATTCATGAGTGCTTATTATGTTTAAAGTTCTGGAAGGCACAGGTCATGCTCTTAATGACTCTACAGTTAAAGAGACATGTGCACAGATAGCTGCACAGGAATACAAAATTCCTGAAATGGAGGTGCAAAATGTGCTAGAATTGCAGGAGAAGTCACATCTAAAATGATATGAGGTTATCAAAAAAAGCTGCAAAAGGAGGTGATGCATAGTTTGTCCCTTGAATCTTGAAGGAAGTGTAGGTGAATATCAAACAAATGAGAGACAGGGCTGAGGTAGAGGAGGATTTTCCAGGCAGAAGAAATAGTATGCACAAAGACATATATTCATGAATCGACATCATGCATCAGAAAATCCATGCTTCTTTGTGAGACCTGATAGGGGAAATAGAGAGTATTATGGGAGCATCTAGCAAGGACAGTGAAATGAGTCTGTGGGGAATAGCCACAATAAATTCCAGAGGAATTCTGAATGATTTCTGAGACCTAAAAGATCTGTAGAAGTAAATTAAAAGACAGGGAGGAACTATTCCAGAGTTCGAGTATAGCATGTATAAAGGCTTGAAGAGTGAGAGGAGAAGGTAGTGATGATACATTGAAGGACTAGAAGTTCAGTGTGACTGGACCAGAGTACAGTGCAGGGAAGCAGTCTGAGGTGGAGGGAGGGGCTTATATGCTATGTTGGCATAAACATGATAAGTATCCATTAAAGAGTTTATTGCGGAGGAAGAAATCAAACAAATTTGCATTTAAGATAGATCACTCTGGGAGCAGTGTAGGAGGCAGATTAGAGGAAGGCAAGGCTGAAGATGAGGTGCCTAGCTAAGAAGCTGCCATAATACTCATATGATAATCCTAATGACAACTATGTATTATATATACTATGTATATGTAGTATACTATGTGTTGAACACCTACAATTTGTTACGTACTTTATGTAAAACATCTCTAATATTCACAACACTTATTCTAGCTTCAGGTTACTGCTTTTCCCACTAAATTAGGTTTTGAGAAAGAATTGTGGACATACAGTATGTTCAAGAGGTAGCACTGATAGCACTTGGTGCCTAATTGGAAGTGTGGGGTTCAGGATGTTGTGTGGCTGGTTTCTATAAGCAAATAAGTTGCCTAGGATAATGGAAGTATTGGGGTATAATATAAATGATATAAATGATGACCCAATTGTTAACATTTCCATAGAATAAAGAGGAGTAATCAGATTTTGGAACATGGCAGTGATAAAGAAAGGGAGTAGGAAATACAGCCAAAAGCATACCTATTTGGAAGGATTTGTGCATGACAGATGAGGGATGATAATGAAAAAGTGATACAGAATATGTTTATCCTGTAGTTACAGGAAAGCATTATTGTTTTTACAGATTTATTTATGTTTTAATTGACATATAAAATTGTGTTTACTGTGTACAACATGATGTTAAGTATATATACATTGCAGAATAATTAAATCTTGCTATTCGCAAATGCATTACCTCACATAGATATCCTTTTGTGATGAGAACATTCTCAGCATTTTCCAATAATACAATGTATCGTCATTATTGTCAACTAGTCACCATGCTGTATAATAGATCATTTGAACTTATTACTCCTACCTAATTATAAATATGCATCCTTTGACCAACATAATGTTTTTTTAAAGTGAATGATATGACAAGAGAATTTGTGATAACACAAGTTGCTGAACCCCAAAATGAATAAAAGTTCAAACATGATAGAAGTATATTTCTTGCTTCTGAAAGTTCAAAGCAGGTGTTCCCCCTTGACAAGTGGCTCATTTCCAAGTGGTGCAACACATGGTTTTCAAGACCACTGTGCTTATTTGTATTAAGTCAACAGAAGATGAAAGAGCATGACAGATTGTATATGAGAGGTATTTATAGACTAGGCCTTGAGTGGCATACTCATCTCTACTGACATTACTTTAACTAGAATGAGGTCACATGGACATGGTGGGAAAAGAAACATTGCCAAGAAAACGAGAAAGTGGATTTAGTGAACAGTTGGCAAGTATTTGCTAATCCCCGTTTTTTTTTTTTTTTTTTTTTTAATTAAAATCCATGACTGCACTCTGGAAGATAAATAGACAGAAATACTAGTTAGCAGACCCTTTCATAGTCCAGGGAAGACTGACAGAGGTACAACAAAAGGCAGTGAGAAGTGAGAGTGGAAGAAGGGCAAGTATGATGAGAAAGGTTTTCAATAGAACTTGAAGTCCAACTGAATATAGGGTATTGAGGAAAAAGGTGCATTGAGAATGTCCCTGACATATTCTCCCTGGATACTGGTTGAATTGTGATGTTATTAACAACCACCACCACCACAACAAAAAACTCATTATAGGAGAAGAAGGAGATATTTTGGAGAGAGGAGGGGATAGTTAGGAGTTTACATGTCTCGGGGATTTGCTATATGCCATATATTGTGCTAGTCGCTTCACATGTATTTGTTTCATTTAATCCTCACAGCCATGTTCATGTGTATATACTACAGAAGCATAATATAGCATGGTTATTAAGAAGGTGGGTTCTGCAGTAAGACTGCTCCTGGTCCTTCCTCTGTAAAATGAGGCAAATAATAACAATGCCTGCCTCATAGGCCATTGCAGGAAGTAAATGAGATAAGGCATGTAAATTGCTTGGTATACTTCTTGCCATTCTGTGAAGTGTTTTTATTTTTATTGTTAATATCCCCATTTTTACAGTTAGTAAACTGAAGTTTCAATAGAGCAAGCTCACACCACCAATAAGTGGCAGAGCTGGTATAGAGACCCAAGTCATTCTGCTAGTGAAAACCTTTTTTCCCCTTTACATCACATCATTTCCTCTAATAAGGGAAGGTGTGGGCTATCAGTTTTAAATAACGAATCTGAGGTGGACATGACAAGCTGCAGTTGGAAATGCAGTTCTGGAACTCAGGAAACCTTTGACACAGTGAAATTTGTAAAACTGAATACATTGCACAAAGTGTCAGCTATGGATTATGTTACACAGTAATGGTGTCCTACATTTAGCTCAAAAGAAATAGGCACTAGTTTCTCCATGTTTAATCACCAAGAAGAAAGTGGTGCTCTGAACCAATTAAGTGTGGGTTACTATCATATTAAGGCCATGAAATTTTTTATTGTATGACTGAGTCAGTTTTATGTGCTTTGAATATTCCAAAGACAAACTATTTGAAGGCTAAATTCTGCATGTCAGGAACCCTCCTCCCACAAACTTCATAAGTAAAATTCTTCTCCTACTTATTTAGATGCAAATAGCTTGCACTTGCATGTTCATTATAGCATCTGCCTCTGAAATGGCCAGGAACCAGGGAAAGCATTTGGGCCAGACTGTTAGTTGTATAGGATTTAATGTAATCAGATCAACCAAGCATTGATAGCTTGTTTCACACAGTCTTTTTTTGTAAAGGCTTTTGCTCTAGGGGATTCCACCTGTAGTTCCTTATTCATTAAGCTAGCAACTGACTCACAGAGCCACACTTAGTGAATCTCACTCTAATGAACAGAAGTAAGAGCATAGAAGAGATGGAATGGTTCATTTTGGGCTCTGAGAAAGCTTACAATGAGGTGAGAAGGAAATAATAGTGTAAGTCTTCAGTCAATCCCAAATTACTCTGTGCACTCTTCATGCAAGGATATCAACTTCTGCCCTCCAAGAGCTCATATCTTAGGAGGAATGATGGGACACATCATTCACTGTACTATAAGAGGCATAATGGAAGTTTCACACAAAGCTGACAGTGAAGTGCTATGAGCTAAAAATTACAGGATTCACTGAAACCTGGGGACATGGGCCCAGATGTGTGGCAGGGCTTCACAGGGGAACTAACATTTGAGCTGGAAGGTGGGAAGGAAAAAACGTATTCCTGAGAAGTTTCACATTATTATTTCATTTTTGCCAGTTCCATGTGGAAATCATGGCCTTGAAATAACAAGGACTGCCTTTATTCTCCAAGCAAGAAACTGGTCTCCAGGCAAATTGAGTCTGTTTAAAAGTTCACTCTAACAGAGGGATTTACAGGTCAACATAAGTGTCCCTCTTGTTCCAAAGAACCCAGCTACTTTAGATGCTACCCCTAGACAGAATAGAAACTCTGTTGTAGTAGAATAAACATCAGAGAACGAATTAAGAGCCATGGTTGTGAATCCCAACGTTGGAACAGATCAGCAGTGTAACCATGGGCAAGGCATTTTTCTTCTCTGGGTCTCAGTCTCTTCTTTTGGGACACGTTGCTGAAAATACCTGCTCTGCCTATCTCACAGAAATATTTATTAAATCAGGAAACAGCTGTCAACCATCTGCTGTGTGCCAATTACCATACCAGGGATGGGATTACAATGATGAAAAGACCACTCTCTCAAGTTGCTCATAGTCCTGTGCAGAAGACAGAGAGCTAAACAGACACTAATAATCTTATGTGGTAAGGTCTAAGACTGTTGTCCAAAGAGCTCTTAGATTGCTGTGAGCTGGAGGAAACCACAATACTTGTAGGGCACAGACAAAGCACAATGGAAGAGGGAATATTTGAGAAAAGACTTGGAGGAAATATGTTGTGCATATAAAAAGGAAAGGGTACTCCAGGCAGGAAAAAAATGTATGAAAAGACACAGATACATGAAAGTTTTGTTTTGTAAAATCGTAAGTTTTTACAGATGGCTGGAGAATGGGGGAGAGCGTGTCAGAAAATGAGGTTGGAGCTACACGTCTGAGATAATTGTTAAAACTCAGATGTGCTCCCTCTGAAGGCTAAATGGAGCAGTAAAGTGGTGGCCCT